GGTCAGTTTCAGCAGCGGCTGAATCTGGATGCCAGTTCCGACTTACATACAGATTCAACTTAAGAACAAACCTACAGTCCCTATCTTGTACGTAACCCGGGGACTGCCTGTAGTGACAGATGATATGGGAAAAGCTGAAGTACTCCATGCTTTTTTCCCCTCTGTCTTCACAGACAAAATCAGCGCCCAGACTACTGCACTATCAGTTTCAGCAGCGGCTGAATCTGGATGCCAGTTCCGACTTACATACAGATTCAACTTAAGAACAAACCTACAGTCCCTATCTTGTACGTAACCCGGGGACTGCCTGTAGTGACAGATGATATGGGAAAAGCTGAAGTACTCCATGCTTTTTTCCCCTCTGTCTTCACAGACAAAATCAGCGCCCAGACTACTGCACTATGCAATACAGTTTGGCTGTGTCTACACTGGCACGCTCTTGCACAAAACCTTGCTGCCTGTCTACGCTGGCCGCATATTCTTGCGCAAGTAAACCGATGTTCTAATGTGTGAAATCAGGGTTTCTTGCGCCAGAACTCTGATGCTCTTGCTCAGGAATAAGACCTTTTGCGCAACTGTTCTTCTGCAAGAGACCAGTGTAGACAGGCAACATGAATTTCTAGCGCAAGAAAGCCCTATGGTTAAAATGGCCATCAGCTCTTTCTTGCGCAAGAGAGTGTCTACACTAGCATGGATGCTCTTGCACAAAAGCACATCTCTTGCACAAAAGCACATGCCACGCTTCTGGAAGCGTTTTTGCAGAAGAGTTCTTGCACAAGAAGCTGCCAGTGTAGACATAGCTTTTGAGAAGAGGGTGGACAGCCCTTCGTGGAGAAAGAATAAGTTAAGAACTATTTAGAAAAGCTAGACATACACAAATACATGGGTCCAAATTTAATGCATCTGAGAATGCTGAGGGAGCTGGCACATGTCATTGCAGAGCCTTTGGCCATTATCTTTGAAAACTCTTGGAGACTGGGAGAACTCCCAGATGATTGGGAAAAGGAAAATGTAGTGCTCATCTTTAAAAAAGAGAAGAAGGACAATCCAGGGAATTACAGACCAGTCGGCCTTACCTCAGTCCCCAGAAAATTCGTGGAGGGGATCCTCAAAGAATCCATTTTGAAGCACCTGGAAGACAGGAAATGATCAGGAATAGTCAACATGGATTCACCAAGGGCAAGTCATGGCTGACCAATCTGATTAGCTTCTATGATGAGGTAAGTGGTACTGTAGACATGGGGAAGTCGGTGGATGTGATGTACCTTCACTATAGCTAAGCTTTTGATTTGGGCTCCCACAATATTTTTGACGGCAAGTTAAGGAAGCATGGATTGGATAAATGAACTGTAAGGTGGCTGGAAAGCTGGCTAGATTGTTGGGCTCAATAGGTAGTGATCAACAGCTCGATGTCTGGCTGGAAGTCAGTTTCAAGTGGAGTGCCTCCAGGGTCAGTTCTAAGGCCAACTTTGTTCAACGTCTTTATTAATAACTTAGATGAGGGCATGAATTGCACCCTCAGCAAGTTTGCAAAAGCTAGGGGGAAAGGGAATACACTGGAGGGTAGGGATAGGGTCCAGAGTGACCTAGACAAATTGGAGGATTGGATCAAAAGAAATCTGATGAGGTTCAACAAGGACAAGTGAAGAATCCTGCACTTGGGACGAAAGAATCCCAAGCACTCTTACAGGCTGGGGACCGACTGACTAAGTAGCAGTTCAGCAGAAAAGGACGTGTGGATTACAGTGGATGAGAAGCTGGATATGAGTCAACAGTGTGCCCTTGTAGCCAAGAAGGCTAAGGGTGCATTAGGAGGAGCATTTCCAGCAGATCTAGAGAAGTTCTTATTCCCCTTTGTTCAGCATTGGTGAGGCCACATCTGGAATATTGTGCCCAGTTCTCTCCCCCCCCCATACCCTGCCCCAACTATAGAAAGGATGTGGATGCACTGGAGAGGGTCCAGCAAAGGGCAACCAAAATGATTAGGGGGCTGGAGCACATGACATATGAGGAGAGGCTGAGATATTTGTATTTATTTAGTCTGCAGAAGAGAAGAGTAAGGGGGGGATCTGATTGCAGCCTTCAACTTCCTGAAGGGAGGTTCCAAAGAGGACAGAGAGAGGCTGATCTCAGTAGTGACGGATGGCAGAACAAGGAGCAATGGTCTCAAGTTACAATGGGGAAGGTCTATGTTGGACATTAGGAAAAACTATTTCACTAGGAGGGTGATGAAGCACTGGAATGGGTTACCTTTTTAAGTCCCAGCTTGACAAAGTCCTGGCTGGGTTGATTTAGTTGGGATTGGTCCTGCTTTGGGCAGGGGGCTGGACTTGATGTCCTCTCGAGGGCTCTTTTAGGCCTAGAATTCTAGGATTCTATGAGATGGGGTGCAGGAGAGGATGAGGGGGTGAGGTCTGGATGGGAGGAAGGATGCAGGGGCAGGTTGGGAGTAGGGTGTCTGTCCAGGAGGAGGAGGTCAGTAACAAGAGAAGGTGCAGTTTGTGGCCAGGAGGGAGGGTGAAGAAGCAAGGGTGAGTGCAAAATCAGGCTGAAGGTAGGGTATCTGGCCGGGGGGAGGGTGCAGGAGCAGGGTGAGGATAGGGTGTGCCAAAATTCAAGTTAGCCATTTTCCCTAAGGCTAGCTCTGCTTGAGGTTCCACCTGGCTTTCAATAATTTCAGCTCTCAGTAGGAGATACTTACTGGTAGTGTAGACTAGGCAGTTTCTTCCACAGAAACATTGTCCCACAACAGGTCTCAGCACGTAGACTGGATTATTAGTGATTGCTGTTCTAACAAAAGACTCTCCATGCAATCTGGTGAGGCCTATCTTTAAAGAGGAAAGAGGAGCAGGTCAAATAGTGCCTCTGACTCCTACGCCAAGCCTACACCTCCAAAAACCACACAGGTACCCCACCCTTTCTCTCCTTCTCTCTCCCACTGGGATTTGGGATCCAAGTTCCCTACTTAGCAAGTATAGGTTAGTTGAGGGTGTGCCATGCCCAAATCACAATGAAAGAAGTGTCAGGGCTCAAGCAATTAGGTGTTGCAATTCAAGCAATTTTGTCACTTTTATAACTGATGGGAAAACGTAAGTCCTGGGGCTATGAACTGCCAAGCTTACATCTGCCAAGGCTCAGTCCTGGCCGAAGTTAAGCGCAGAGGCCATGGGCATCCAGTATGCTAGGCAGGGGAAGGCACAGTTTTTCCAAACTGCCAAGTATGGCTCGGCTCCCACTTCCTCTCAGAACACCTGCTGTGGGACCTCTCCGTGCTCCTGGATGGGGAGTCTGGAGCCTCATACCCTCCTCCCTTCCCAGTGCTAGGGGGTCAGGGAGGCTCAGGCCACATACCCTCTTCCTACCTTATGCTCAGGGCCAGGGAGGCTGGGATGCCCACGTGCACACAAATGCCCCCTTCCTTCCCCACCCTGTGGTGGGGTAGGGCCTCAGCAGAAAGGGTGAGGCTGTAGGTCAGACTGTACCTATCAGTCAGGGCAGGCCAAGTATAGTTCAGTCTCTTTTTACTCATACAATAAGCAGAACATTTCATTGCCCTGGCACTCAGTAAAGAGATTTGTAACTCAATACTGGCCAAAACTGATGTCGTGGTCAACACAGCTCTGTCTGCCTCACACCTCGGCAGAGTAGGTGTGTTCTTGTAAATACAGCCTGATCCTGAAGCCTTCCCCCCATCCCACTTCTGGCTTATCACTAACTGGCACCGGAGAGCTCACTCAGGGTATGTCTACACTACCACCCTAGTTCGAACTAGGGTGGTAATGTAGGCAACTGGAGTTGCAAATGAAGCCCGGGATTTGAATTTCCCGGGCTTCATTTGCATCTTGCCGGGCGCCGCCATTTTTAAATGTCTGCTACTGCGGACTCCATGCCGCGCGGCTACACGCAGCACGGACTAGGTAGTTCGGACTAGGCTTCCTATGAAATGTGAAACAAGGAGTAATGGTAGTTTGGAATAGGAAGCCTAGTCCGAACTACCTAGTCCGTGCTGCGTGTAGCCGCGCGGCATGGAGTCCGCAGTAGCAGACATTTAAAAATGGCGGCGCCCGGCAAGATGCAAATGAAGCCCGGGAAATTCAAATCCCGGGCTTCATTTGCAACTCCAGTTGCCTACATTACCACCCTAGTTCGAACTAGGGTGGTAGTGCAGACATACCCTCAGACTTTGCTTTGAAATCATAATAGGAAATTATTAGATTGGCCAACATCACAGAAATGAATGTGCCAACATTGCCATAAAAAGCAGCAACTCTGTGAGGAAGCTAATCTTTTATCATACATTTCAAATGTATGTGTTTTCAGGCATATATATTTTATACTGTATATGCTTTTAAAGTGTGCATTTATGTTTCAATTTCAATTCAGAATTCCAACCCATGACTAGCTTGGCAACACTGCATGTAACTAGTGGACTACTGGGAAAAAGGGGAAATCCAGGGAGGTTATATGCTCTCCCTATGGGTTGTGTCAGGGGACAGGGATAGAGAAATCCCATAGTGAGCATTGAGGATGTCTCCAAGACATGTTGCCAGACTTCTGTGTCAGCTGTGGAGGAGCCAATGGCTGTGGTATAGGTAAGGGCTAATATCTGCAGCTTCCCCAATTATCACCTCTAATAACATTAGCTCACAGACATTTACCTCCCACCCCCCATACCCCTTCTGTTCTGAAATTTGATTTGTCCTTTTCATATTTTTTAGATTGTATCCTTTGGTATATATGGTTGTGCCAATTTTCTTCCATTATTTGATCCGAGGAAGTGGGTCTGGCCCATGAAAGCTCATCACCTAATAAACCATCTTGTTAATCTTTAAAGTGCTACATAGTTCTGTTTTTTGTTTCAGCTACACCAGACTAACACGGCTACATTTCCATCACTACATTTATTAAGACTTGGGGACTGTGCTGGAGTCCAGAGGATGCTGTGAAGGCCAACACACTAAGGGAAGGCCAACACATGGAGGGAAGCTCCATCAAAGTTAGCCAGAATGGGCATGGATGGTGTTCCCTAGCTTCTGTTTGTCAGAAGCTGGGAATGGGCGACGGGCAGGAATATTTGATGATTACCTGATCTGTTCATCTCTCTGATGCACCTGGCATTGGCCTCTGCCAGATGACAGGATACTGAGCTAGCTTCACCCTTGGTCTGACTAGTATGGCCCTTAAGTTCTTATGTTCTATTTTTATGTTGTCATGATAAGGAAGTTCCAGCATCTCTTGTAACCTAGCTGGAGTTCCCCAAATACACAGGCTCCATCAGCTTTGTGTCAAGGATAGTGTTGCCCTGACAACGAAGCTCCGGAATTCCCTGTTTCCTGGATACAGCTGCCATGGTAGCTGAGGCCTCAGCATTTCTATGTAGCCTCCTTCTCTCCTCCTCAATCACCCTTCCCCTTCCCGTGTTGGGATCCATCCAGACAGGGAGTGCGCAATATCTGGCCCCAGCTTCTATAAGGAAAGGAAAAGCAGGCAGCACACAGACAAACACCAGCTGGGGTAGCCAAGTTTAGGAGCATAGACTTGGCAGGTACAGCTCTTTTTAAAACCATCTGAATAATTCAGCAGTAAGTTGTGCTAATGTGAGGTGGGGATCCAAGCTGGGGTTCTTAATGTGACTCAGGGACATCAGGTATTTCACAGCAGTGAGAGCCAAAAAGACAGGGCCAGGAAGTATGCTAATGGATGTGGGTAATGAGAAAGACGGAGAGGGAGTTGGTGTTTAGTCTGGCTGGTGCATTACTGACTATACATTAACAAAGTTCAAATCACAGGCTATGTCTACACTACGAGTTTTGCTGGAAGAGGCAATGCAAATGAAGCTCGGATTAGCATTTTCTCATGCTTCATTTGCATAATCTCTTCTGATCTGTTTTTGTGCAAGAGGTTTTTGTGCAAAAACAAGCAGTGTGGACATTTCCTTTTTGCTCAAAAAACCCCTTTTGTGCAAGATCGTTATACTTCCTTTTTTGAGGCATAAGGGGGTTTTTGCGCAAAAAGGAAATATCCACACTGCTTGTTTTTGCACAAAAACCTCTTGCACAAAAACAGATCAGAAGAGATTATGCAAATGAAGTGTGAGAAAATGCTAATCTGTGCTTTATTTGCATTGCGGGAGCATAAGCTTTCATGGGCAAAGATACATCTGACAATGTGGGTCTTTACCCACAAAAGCTTATGCTCCAATAAATCTGTTAGTCTATGAGGGTATGTCTACACTACCACCCTAGTTCGAACTAGGGTGGTTAATGTAGGCAACCGAAGTTGCAAATGAAGCCCGGGATTTAAATATCCCGGGCTTCATTTGCATTTTACCGGGCGCCGCCATTTTTAAAGCCCCGGTAGTTCGGACTCCGGCACAGAGTAGGTAGTTCGGATTAGGCTCTCTAATCCGAACTACCGATACACCTCGGTTCCATGAGTAGTAAAGACCCCAAGTCCGAACTACCGGTACACCTTGTTCCATGAGGTGTACCGGTAGTTCAGAATAGGAATCCTAGTCCAAACTACCTACTTCGAGCCCCGTGTAGCCGCACTGCTTGGGGTTCGAACCAGCGGGGTTTTAAAAATGGTGGCTCCCCCCTTCTTCAAATGAAGTCATTTGCAAGTGCGGTATGCCTACATTACCCTCCTAGTTCGAACTAGGAGGGTAGTGTAGACATACCCTGAGGGAATAAGTGAAAGGTTCTATGGATCTCCTGCTCCTGGTTGATAGGAAGTGAAGCACTGTGTATTTTAAGATTTAAACTTTGATATCTTCTAGGGAAAAGGAAAAAGAGAGTTTAGTAAAAGACAACAGAAATTAGCTCAGGCATTACCTGTCAAATGAGGCCACCATGTGGCAATTTAAAGACATATGCCACAAGGGGGAAATGTATGAGTGGCTTTTTGTAAGCTTACCAGTTACAACAGAATATGCTTGCTATCCTGATGATAAAGCTCTTTTCCTGTAAGAATGCATGTTACAGGACACTTTTACTCAGGGGGGAGCATATAATCACACTAGCTTTCCAGGCATGCAATTTGCATGTCTACTTCATGTAAGCAGAATACTAACCAAACTTATTTTCCTGAAACCACTTTCTCAATAAAAATTTGTGTTGTGCACAAAATTAATGTTTTTATTTTTCAAATCTGCCACATGAAGGAGGTGGGGTAGATGTTGCACCCTTTTAAGCTGAGCAAGAGTAC